TAGAGAGGAAGGTAAAAAGACCAGTTAGGAGACTCTGTGTTAATTATGATAAGTGAGGGGGTCTGAATCAGGGCAGTGACTGAGGGGTTACGTAAGAGGAGATAGAGTCAAGAGAGATGAGACTTTAGTTAAATGTGTCTTTGGGAGCAGGTTGGAGGGGTAGAGTACAGCGAATAGTCCAGGGTGAACCCCAGGATCCTCCAAATGCCGTCTGCTCCAAGACTCTGTGCACATATCTTACAAGATTCAAGGCTAGAATTGCAGGGAAATGCTGGCGCTAGGACACTGCTCCCCTGTCTTCCTGATTCTGGCAGTAGTAAAGAAGCTTATTCCCTGCCACAGGTTCTTAGAGAAAAAGGCATAGGTGAGCCAGATGGCCCCATGACCTCTCCCTGTTCCGGAGAGGCTGCAGATGAGGAACAAATGCAAACCTTGCCTCTGTAAACTGGAATTGCCTCTGTGTTTTTGCTACTGGCAGCTATTCAATCTAACTCGAGTAAAAAATTTCTTCAGTCAACCCAACTTCAAAAAACCCCTCATGTGGCTGTCTCTGGGAGTAAAACTTTATTAACAAGTCCAGATGAATAAAATAATTTCTAAACTTCAGACTTCAAAATTAAGGCTTTTCCTTTTTCTCAGCCTGGCTCTATTGCAAATGGCCGTGTTCGGTGGGAAATGGGGGTGGCCCTTGGATGTCTCCTTTTTCCTGCTTCTCCCTTCTCCAGTCTCCAGCTTGCTAACCCTGTTTCTCAAGGGTTTAAGCGCACTGGAGGGAGAAGAGATGAAGAAAGTTCCTACTCAGCTGGTACTATCACAAAATAATTTCAGTGCTTGGCAGCTACCTAGAGCTGACTCTTTCTCAAGGGGCCCTTTTGGAGGTTTTTCAGAGATTCCCTCCCCGTTGGTGGAGATTTCTCCTACACCTAGTTGCTTTAATGTGGGTGAATTTATTTCCTTTAGCTGGTTACTTTAAAACTCCTTTAGAAATAGCCAGGCATTTAAGAAATCAACTTTATTGAAGTATAATTAACATACAGTAAAGTGCACAGATTTAAAGTGTATAGTTTGATAAGTTGTGGCAAATGTGTACACCCAGGTAACCACCTCACGCCCCTTCACAGGCAGTCAGGTCCAGCTTCAGGCAACCTTACCCTTAATTAGAAATCTGTAGGAATTTAACAGCATTACCTCCTGCTTCTTTCTGCTGAGGTCTCCTCAGCCTTTCAGACAGTATCTCCGATGATGTAAAGGAACCCTACTAGGTCCCTTACATGGCCCACATCTAGTCTATGGGGAGCACCCGTGCACCCCTTGTCCTGAAAAACGGTGGGAGCATAGGCCAGTCTCACCACAGCCACCTCGTCTTGTTCTGCCAGCAAACAGGTTGGCAGTTGTTCTCTTGACTTTTTAGATTTTCAAGTTACAAGTCAGGCATGAACTCTCAAACACACTAATCGTATCAATCTCTCCAAGAAATTTCCTCAAAACCTTCTCAACTTTAATTGAACTGGGGCAGGGGTCGGGGGACTCAAAGCCTACTAGCAATTCCATCTAAGGATCTTTTTCCAATGTCTGAATTCCTGTCCCTTTTCTCAGTGTGAGCGAGGTGATTTAAGAGTTGCAAACTTGTTTTACATACCCCCGTTTTGCAAGCCTTGCACAGTCATCTCACACCTCATTTTGGAATGTGGCATCTGCTGCCTTGGATCCTCAGCAGAGACTGAGATCAGATCTCCCCGAGATGCATTGAAACCACTAGGAGAGGATGCCAATTGTTTGGGGGGTTGGAGGGGATGTTATTGGTCCAAATTGTAGTTTTACAAATTCCTTAGATGGGAGACCATGGGTGAACATGTTACATAAAAAGAGGCTCCTAAAGTAAAATTGGAAACCAGATACCAAAGGATAAGATTCATCTTGCAAGAACACCGTAAAAGACAAGTTTAGGACAAAAAGGAGGTGGTAGATTTCATCCCTTTACTATTTGTTGAAAAGCATTAATAATCTAAGTGCTAGCAGTCTCCTGAGTCATAGGAATACAAAAAACGATCCAAAGTTCTTGTCCTTGAGGAGATAATAATGGCCTAGCAGAGAAGACAGAAGTAAACCACCAGTAAAATAGGCATGTGAGTGAGAATATATTCTGCTCTTGGGAACTAAAGATAAAGAAAAATGTACAAGGTGGTCTAGTGCAAGCAAGAGGCACCTAACTCAAGAATAGGAGCTTCGCTGTCAGGGAAGTCTGCCAGAGGAAACGACCAGAGCTGTGAGTGAAGGCAGATAGGCATCTTAGCCAGATGAAGGAGCGGGGTCCTAAGGGAACAGAACTGAAAGAGCTAAGGCTCCTGAAGATAGTGGGAAATTTGAGGAACTGCAAATAGTTTGGTGTGGCAGAAATGAAGGAACGAAGTTGGAGAGGAAGGCAGCGCCAAGGTAGGGAAGCCATGATGAGTCGCTAAAGGATTTTAAACTGGCAAATGACATGATCTGATTTTGAAAGATCGTTCTCTGTGGTGTGGCTAATGAACTGGAAAGAAGCAGAATCAGAGGCAGGAAGACCAGAGAGGCAGATGGTACCATGATCTAGGCAAGAAATGATGAAAGCAATGGGACTGGGGATGAATAAGAAGGGAAAGATTTAAAGACATTTCTAAGGCAGAGTAAATGGAACTCGATAACAGAATGGACTGGATTAGAAGAGTAGAAGGGAGGAGTCCAGAGAGACTCCCAGGTTCCTGGTTTGAAGTGTTTATTGGAGGGTGGGGGGTGCTATTCAGGGAAATAAGAAAAATAGGCAGAGAAGCAGATTTTGATTCTTTCATTTCATTTGTACATTCAACAGATATTTATTAAAGGCCCATTATGCACTATGAATAGACAAGTAAGTCAATGATGAAGATGCCCTGTGAAATGTGTCACTGTCAGAGGTATGCGGAGGGCAGCAACTGAACAAATATGACAGGTACATAAGTCACATTGAGGAATCAGGGGCAGCTCTTGGAGGAGACAATGCTTAATCTGAATTTTTTTAAAAATAAAATCAAGGTGAAATTCACATAACGTAAAATTAACCATTTAAAAGTATACCATTCAGTGGCATTTAATACATTCAAAGTGTTGTTCAACCACCACCTCTATCTAGTTCCAATTATCCTGAGTTTTTTGAAGGGTGACTAGGAATTTGCTAGATGAAGAAAGGGTGAGGGAAAGCATTTTGGGACATAGGAGGAGCATGTTTGATGGCATGAAGACCAGAGATAGCATGACTAGGGTGAATGTGGAAGGGGCAGTAATGAAAGACGAGGCTAGAGAGGGCCCAATAATAAAATGTCCACATTTTAACTTGATCCAGAAGACATGGGAAGCCCTTAAAGGATCCACAGCTGGGGCTTGACATGATCAAGTCTGCCTTTCAGGCAGATCACTCTGGTGATGCTTTGGAGAGGAGGCAGCCAAGAAGATAAATTGCGGGGATTTACACAGTAATCCAGAAGAGAAGTGATCAGAGTCTGAACAAGGACAAAGGTACCAATAATGGAAGGAACTGAAAACAGGACCTAGTAAAGGTGCAGAATTCATATTACTTGATGACTTATTAGACATCCAACTAGAGGGAGACCATAGGATGATTCCCATTGTTCTCCGTTGGGTGACTGGGATGATGGCAGTGGCATTCTGGGATGAAATTTTTGGGAAGAATGATAACTGCAGGTTGGTGGATTGCGAGTTTCCCAAGATTCAACTACATGAAGAGTCTCAGAGTCAATTTAAAGTGGATCTGGATTCCAGAAGAGAGATATTGGATAGAGAGAGCATTGAGGACTTTTTGTGGTAAATGAAGTCATGAGTTTGGATGAAGTCACTCAGGAAAAGTGTACAGAGAAGGATGAGCAGAGAACCTAGTCCTGATCTTTAAGAGTCAATATTTAAGGTATGCTAAGAAGACAGAGCTATACTGTTAAAAGATGTGGTCATATCGAGGTCAAGATAGAGTTTAGCAGCAGGGGCAGAGAAGTGGCATGGGTTTAAACAGGAGAGAAAAGGCAGGTGAGGGAAACACTGGTTTGATTTGAAGGGGGAGGATGGTGGGTTGTGTGGTTCCATGGTATTGCTTGGACTATGTTGTTGTCCCTGGGACCCCAGGACACCATACAAATCTCTCCACTCCAAGATAAGCAATTTATTATGCCATCAACTTCTTACAATTTCCCAAGTACATACAATTTCTCCGCAAACTAATTTTATGGAATGAAGGCAAATGTTTGCCAATTATGGCTATGTCCCCTCATGAAACAATTTAACCCCCTGCAGTCTCCCCCTCCAAGTTCTGAGGCCTGAAGAGGTATCAGTTTTGGGGTCAGAGGCATCAAAGAGGGGGGAGGAAAGCAAAATCGTGAGCTGCCTTTAAGGCAAGAACCACTTCCCCCTACTTTTTTTGGTACAGAAACTCTCCTTCAGCTTCTTGTGACCAATTTTTCACAGCTGTCTCCTCCTTTTGCTACCCAAGGGAAGCAAAAGACTCATTCTTAGCCCCCCCAGATAAAGTTGAGAAGAATGCCTGAATGGGACGGTTTGTGTGGGGCCCTGGCAAGGTTGATGGGTACTCTGGGCACGGAGAACAGAGCCCAGAGTAAGGCTCTTAGGTTCTATTTTCTTCTCCTCTCCACACACTGCCCCTCTTCACCCACTGCTTCCACAGCTGCTTGTCTGGGCTGAAACTCAGAAGGATGGAGAAAAGGGGGCCTGAACTTTTCTTGAAGTGCTTCACTTTTTCTTGAAATGCTGCAACTCTGACAGATATCTGGGAGCTCTTTCTTTACTTTTCCTCACCTTACGTGGGCACAGCCTTCCAGGGAAGGAAGAGGCTGAGCCTCTGGAGTGGGAGTGGGAGAGCGGGTTTGGGCCGCTTTCCCAGGGACCGCAAGCCTTCCTTACTAAGTTAGGTAAATACACAGGAGGAAGAGCAATGACTGACCCCTTTGGGGTTTCCATAAAGGCCTCTACTTTTTCAAAAGAGAACTTTTCTTGGGCCACTTGGGCTTCATAAACTTGCCAGAAGTGATGAGGGCCCCAAAGCCCTGTTTGTGGGAGAATGCGTAGGCAGAACGATGAGAGGTTGAACGTTGGTCTTCATTCAGGACTGGGAGTGGTGGTGGGTGGCTCATGAGATGAATTCCATCAAGAACCTGTAGCCAGAGCATAGGGGGCAGAGTTTTATCCACAGAGGCAAACGTGAAGAAGATCATGAATTATACATCTGGGTAGATCCCCTGTTCTACTCACCTTATTCACACTGAAGGGCCATAATAGTGGTTTGAGAAACTTGTACCCAACGGAAGGCAACATGCAGAGGACCAAGCTGAGGACAATGCTCAGCCACAGTTGTGGCGTGTTCAGAGTGTTCCCTGCCACACCTGTAATCAACGAGCCAGGAGGGGAAAGGCTACACTGAAGCCTGGAGGAAGTGGGCTGTCAGCCAGAACTTAGATACCTCTGCAGTCCAAAGAAGGAAGTACTGATTTGGAGACAGTTTAGTCTCCTGAGAAATAATATAAATGCAAAAGAATTGCATTGAGGTCCTTTGCACAGCCAAAGTCACTGTGAATTCACATGCCTTTGTCTCCCTCTAAAGGCTGGGCAAGGCAGGAGAGGTGGCGGGTAGGCTTGGAGCCTTGGCTTGGACACATCAGTGGGATAGAGGAGTTTGGAAGGGAACAATGAAAGGCTGGATGACGGGTGGGGGCCAGCTACATCTACATACCTACTCTCTCTGCATTTTGTCCTCATCAGAGTGGAGACAAGAGACAGGGAAATTAACATGGGAGGCAATAAGGCGGTATGTCACAGTGGAAAGAATATCAGACTGGGAACCGGGAGACCTAGATTTGAGTCATTTAAAATGGTGCTAATAATTCTTGCCCTGGCTACCCCAGAGGCTTCTTGTAAAGATCAAATTAGGTAAGAAATTGGAAAATATCTTAAAACTCTATAAGGTAAAATATTTCCTCTAGCTAGATTTTGAGTCCTTTTAGGGCAGAGACTACGTGTCATTCCTATTTATATCCACAGAACCTAGCACATAGTAATAGCTTCTCAGTAAGCATTTATTAAGCAAATATATTGGTTCACCCCCCCCACTCCTACTTCCCACCCCCTTGCCACACATTGGGCAGAGCCTTACCTAGGAACTGGAAGACATTGGGGAATATTAGGCACAAGCCATCACTGTACAGGAAGAATAAGATGCAAAAGTAGAAACCCAGGCTACCCCAGGTGAAGAGGTGGTTTACCATTGTCCAGTAGGTTGTCTCCAGGGCAATCTGAAAAACACACTCTTTTGTACAATGTTCTATAAGCCACCTCCCTTCTCCAGTTCTGCAATGAAGGATTCTCCCTTCCCTCTTTCCCTCCTTCCTTCCCTCCCTCTCTTCCAGGCAGTCTCCCCATCCAAACTCCTTACCCTGCCTTGCCCACTGTCCGCACCTGCATTGTGGCCACCCAAAGCAAAGAGGTCTGTACTATCAGGGAGAAGGACTGGTAGTCAGAGATTTCCTTCCCGTCACTGCGTACTGAGTTAAAAATGGTCCCCATGGGAATAAAGAACAGCACGAAGGAACTGTAGATCCCGTGAACTAAACACTTCACAAATTCCTTCTTGTTGAAATAGAGGTTGTGCTGGCCTGGCTCGTACAGCTCTGGGAAGCATAGGCTCCATTTTTCATTCACGTCCTGGAAGCACCACAGGATAAGGAGGAAGGCTCAGGAAGGTGCTGTTTCCATCAGAGCAGAGGCTTCTCCCCACACTGACTCTGCTGCCAGGCTACCTAGGAACTTCCTCACAGATTACTGGAGAAGTGGAACCAGAGAACAGAGCAGTGGCCAGAGACACGTCCTGAAGTCCTACTCTCTAGGCAAGGATCTAGGTAATAGAAGAAAGCTAGGCGAAGATCAAGATTGGTGGGAAGGACCTAGAGGCAGTTAGGATTGGGGACTTTAAGAAGAGGGGCAATTAGGATTGGGGTAGCTGGAAGGGAAGACTGGTTTTTGGGGTGAGGGAGGCAGTTGGGATATCAGTCCCCAGTTTCAGTTTTCCTTTAGTTGAATATTCAAAAGCCAGTGGGAGGAGAGGGGGAAGCCAGTGAGTCCCCTGGAGGTACCCATGTTCTGTGATGCTCCTCCCATTCCCATAGCTACTGGTGAACTCAGGAAAGAGGATTTTCTATGCAGATGACATTGAATTATCCTCGTCTCCTAAACCTGAAACTCTGGATGACAAAGCTTGGGGCTTGTTTTGAGAGGTTGTGGATCCCTAAAACTAGACCACTGGAACTTGTTAGGACTGTTGAGTGACACAACTCATCCCCTTTGCTGCTCTGAGGCTGGCAGCTGCTCCACAGAGAATTTTCCTTCCTACCCTGATGGAGATCAGGAACCATGATCCCTTGATGTCCTCTTTCAGCTACTTTATTCCTCTTTGGGGACTCCTTTTCTATTCCATGTGCCCAGGACTGGAGGTTGGGGTAGAAGAGGAGGGAGAGGTAGGGCACCAGGATCCCCAAAGCCCAGGAAATTGCTGACAGGGAAAGAAGGCCCCTCTAGGCTGACTCCGTATAACTCGAAGGTATCATACCCCTACTCCTATGCTTGGCCTTCAAGGACCCTCACCTGGGTCTCCCTGCACTGGCTCATCTCCTTGTGTCTGTGTGGCCCCTCTTCTCTTGGAGCCCCTTGCTTTACCTCGTCCTGCCCCAATGACTATTTCCTTTCACTACTTTGTACACATTCAATGTACTGTACAGCACAGTTTCCACGTTTCTCTCTACAAAGATAAAATGGACGCAGGAAAACTTGGATTTCTAAGACTGATGATTATTCTGTGTGGAGGAGGATTCTTTATCCCATGGTACCTCTCCCAGTGATGAGCTCCTTTCCTTGCTCTGGAAATGATTCAATTAAACTTGACTTTGTAGAACTCATCTCTCTGTCCTTCTTACTCTTGAGAATACCCCTCGTGGGCCCAGGGGCTTCAGCCCTGACTAAGAGGCTTGCTGCTAGTCTTACCTGGTCAAATAGACTCAAGCCCAGGACAGGGAGGCAGGTGTAGACCAGGTTGTAGAAAGTGATAAACCAGGTATCATAAACTGTCTGGAAGAACACCAAGGAGATTTCTTAGATTTGGCTCTTCTACAAAGTCTCATCTCTACCTCCCAGGTCCAAGAGAGCCTTCTTTGCCCCCCACCCACCCATTGCTACACTAACTTAGTGCAGGATTTGAATTTCAGAAATCTAAGGCTGACTCCAGTCTCTGTTTGGTCCTACTCTGTTTAGAACTCTGGCTACCAGGCTGAGGCAAGGCTATATTAAGTTTATTGGTGGCCAACCTCACAAGGTTGATTTGGACCAACCCTACCATGAGCTATAGACTCCCTCCCTACACAGAAAGGACCCAGAGTGGCTGCTGGGGGATGCTAGCTATACCCCTGCATTCCCAGGCTGTAAGCCTCTGGGATTTTTCTTTATTTGCTTTATGGCATTCAATAGCTTCTATAACACTGGACACTTTCTAACATGGCAAGCAGAATAGACCTAACGTCCCTCCCCTAGCTAGATGCTCAATCCTGGGCCAAGAGAGGGCTCCTTTCCTTACTAGCCACAAGGGGTCAGCAGCAACACATACATACACACACCTGAACCTCCCACAACCAGACCTGCTTTGTTAGACACTGAGGGTATACTAGTCTACTACTGTCTGCTGACTGGTCCGTTTCTCCTGGAGCCCAAGGCAACAGAGGTAGTAGCAGGGACCTCCCAAGAGAATTTTTCCAGAGCGTTTTTCTCTTGGGAATCTTTGAATGACTCCTGAGAAACTTCTCACAGAAGGGACTTTTTGCAGAACTTGGAAATCCAAGTGTCACCTCTACCTCTACTGTGTGGGGTATTTCACATTTAAATTTGGGATTAATTCACTAGGGCAGACCTAGAGCACAAGAATAGATAAGGCTTGCTTAAAAACCTTTCACTAAAAAAGTTATAGGTCTGGGACGTGAATACCCACCATGACCTGCCCAGTTAGAAATTTATGATTTATTATAGCACTACTTTTTCTTTTTTTAAAAAATAAACATTTATTTATTTTGTGGAGAGAGGGAAAGGAGGGAGAAGGAGGAGAAAAATATTGATGTGAGAGAGAAATACTGATGGGCCACTTTCTTGTACGCTCCCCAACAGGAGACCTAACCTGCAACTCAGGCATGTGCCCCGACTGGGAATTGAGCTGGTGACCTCTCGCCCCACGGGGCAACACTCAACCAACTGAGCCACACTAGTCAGGGCTAATTCACCCCCTTTTCATCCCCAGAACTGTAGTGGTTAGGCATGAGCAGAGTAGGAATGATAGGCCAGGTGCAGAAGGTCACCCGGGTGGTAAACTTTCTCTTATAGTTAAAAAAATTTTTTCTAGGAGATGGAGAGAAACATCAATGTGTGATTGCCTTGCCCGCAACCCAGGAATGTGCCCAGACTGGGAAATGAACTGGTAACCCATTGGTTCACAGGTCGGTACTCAATCCACTGAGCCACACCAGCCAGGGCAAAAACAAATTTTCCTTAGAGCAACAATAGTGTGTTGTTTTTGTTGGGGTGGGGGGGAGTGTAAAGGTGGGGAGGGAGAAATAAAGGGAAGCTGTGTTTCCAAGTATGGCTGAGGGTGAACACCATAACCAGCCTATCTGGCAAGACCCCAGACGCCCCTTGAAGCTTAGCCTGTTCCATAAAGACTACTTTGGATGATTAAAAAAAAAGAGAAAGAAGAACTCCTAGATCAAATGCTTGGAATCTCTAGGTCTCTATGTCAGGGAAAGGGTGAAAATATCTTATGGGAGAGTCTGAAGGTAGGTAGAAGTCAAGGCCAAGTCAGAGCCAGGCCAGACACGTTAGGGTTTGGAAATCTAAGGTTAAGTGTAGGGTCAGGAGATGGGACAAGCCTAAGTGAGGAGCTTGGATGGCAGCATGTCACAGATTTGGTCTCTGCAGGACAAAAAGAGTCTGAGCTGGCTAAAGTGGGAGTGACTAGAGAAGACCTAGTTGACCAAAGTAGGAAATGCCATCTGATGTCCTACCTGTGCTGAGAACCCGTTGTAGAAGGAATACCAGAAGTGCACCAGAGTGAAGGCAAAGTTTTTGTAAAAGAAGTAGCCGAGAAACTTGCACATGCGGTTATAAGACCAGCGGCCATGGACCAAGAGCAGACGCTGCAGATAGCGGAACTGGGAGAAGGAGAAGTCGCTGTTGAGCACGGCCTGCGTTCCCTCCTGGCCGCTGATGCCGACCCCAATGTGGGCAGCTGCAAAAGAAACCCCAGAAGCTCCTCAGCCACAGATCTTGTTTGCAGGGCTCCCAGCCTGGAAAGTGTAAAAGGCAGGCTGAGATCAAGGTGCACAAATCCCTTATTTTACATTTGGAAAACACCTTTACACCCAGCCTTGGAATGGCACTTCCTAGGAAAAAAAGGAAAAAATGGCACTTGCTTAGTGGAGCCTTTTCTCCTTAGTGGATTGCCCCTCCCCCACACACCAGAAAACAGCTCCTTCATCTGCACTTTGTTTTGGGCATTGCCACTCAAGAATACCTGGCATGTCCACTTCTGGAAAGTTGTCGAGGATGTTTTTTGCACCTACTCTAGCCATCTGGGCTCTGTCCTACAGTCCAGAAGCTGAGGTAAAAATTTCTTGATAATTCTTGAAGCCACTTAAATCAATTAAAAATGTAGGATGAATGAATGCCAATCTAACACGATATTTAATTACCTAAGTTTATCTAAGGAGCTAAAATCCAACTGTTGGGAGGAGTAAGTGATGTGCATACTTTGTCAGTGTTCCCTGGGAGGCCTACCACGACCTTTTCCTGGATAAAGCAAGGATTATACTTGATGGAAGATAGGATCGAAGTTCCTAAAACTTTTAATTAGTCTGTTATAGTATAAGCCAAATTCACAGATTTTCTGGCACATACCTACTGCATTGCTTAAGAGAATGATTGAAATTTTTAAGGTCCTAACAACCAGAATTGCTCTAGAAACTGGGAAAGAGAAAGAACACATCTTAGTGTTGAAGTGGAGTATCTGCTAGTGTTCCCTGTAGGGAGAGGCTGGACTGGAGGACCTCTAAGATGTCATACCAGTTGCTGGAGGCTGAAAACATTCAGCTGAAATTAAAACCAGCTTCTGCCATTTGCTTCTGTTGGTCTAGAGCATCAGTCAGTCTGCCACTGTCCTCCAGCCAGGGGAGTCAGGGCAAGCTCTCCGGAACAGTGCCTCAGGAGGCAAAGATCTCTGCATTGGGCCTCAGAGCTAATTCCCTGGTTGGGCGGCCCTGTCTTCAGCCTAACTTTGCTCAGGCCTACAGGCTTCAAAAAAGAAAACAGATTATGACTCCTGCCCAGGGGTCCTTTCTGTGGGCTTTGATGCCATCTCAAAAAGATGTTAACGGGTTCTTGTGAGAGCTGTGTGTCTCTATATGCATACGAGTGTTAAATGAATGCATCTAAATGTGTGTTCATAACCGTGGATATGGGTTGATGTATGCATGTGTAAAGAGTGGAAATGCAGGCACAGAGGAGCATGAATGAAGATGCAGGAGTATAAGCCAGCAACACAGTGTCACCCAGATCAGTTCTGTCCACAGAGGAAGGAAAGGGCAAGCCCATGCCTAGGGGCTATAGCTCCACACCCCTCACTTGCCTTTGATCATGCTGACATCATTGGCCCCATCCCCGATGGCCAGTGTCACCCACTTCGTGTGCCTCTTCACCAGCTCTACCACCTGAGCCTTCTGAAGGGGTGTCATCCGGCAGCAGATCACCCCCTGGCACATGCAAGCTGTTCGCAGCAGTTCCAACTCCAGGTTCCTTTCTAGAGCATGGGCCTGTAGCATCAGGACACACCCACATTTCAGGTCCACCTTCCTAGGCCGCTCCCCTCCCCTCCATACTCTCCTGTACTACAGAGGTCAGGCATAGCCGTTCCCAAGGGGCTCCACCCCCAAGAGAGGCCAAGCTCCCACGTCATTTCTAAGCATCCTCACATCTGATCCAGCCTCCAGCAGGAAACTGATCAGGGTCACTCACTGGGTCTAGTCAGTTGACTGGGCTATAAGGCCAAGTTTCTTTCTGGAAGACCTGCTTCTGCTCACTTTCCCCCTTCCCCTAAGGGACAGGCCACATCAGTAGTGAAAAATTTAAACAAGGAAGGAATATGCCCTTGGCTTCTCTTTGCTCATCATTCCTGCCTAGAGAAGGCTCGGGAAAGGTGTCTGTCAGGCAAGGGCACCAGAAAGAAGGGGGAATAGGGTGACTCATGGGTCTTGAAATTTCCCTGAAGTGGGCTGGACCTAGGAAAAAAGTTCCTTGGAAGAAGAGAACAGGGTTGTAGCTCTGTGTTGCCCACCAGACTGTAGCCATTGATGATCAAGCCATAGTTGCCATTGGGCACCTCCTCGGGTATCCTGGTGGGCATTTTGGGCTTCGTGAAGAGGTAATTGTTTATTGGGTCTGATTCCAGTAGAGGCTTGGCTTTCATCTTATTAAGTGCTGACCTGAAAGCCAAGAGTTGTGGTCAGTGTCTGACCTGAAGCCCCAGAACTTAGAAGGCAAATGTGCTGCCGAGTGGAAACGGGCAAGGCAGATACAGAGCCTCTGGCAAAGCACCTGCCAGGACCTCAAACTTGTCTGCCTCTTGAGACCTGCCACAGCCTTAGGTCCCTGACCATCCACACACCACACTGCTCCATCTCGCCACCCCCACTCCAACCTCTGGAGCCCTAATGCTTCTTCACAAAATTCTCTCAACTACTTTAGGTTTTTGGTTTCCCCCTCCTCCTTTTCTTCTCTATTCCTTCTGGCAGTGTGGGGCCATGATGGGTGAAGAGATGGGTGAGAAATCTCGTGTCCAGGGACAGGCTGTGGCAGCTCTCTCATCTGTACCTGAGTTCTTGCTGAATGGTTGCATCATCCTTGCCTACCACGGTAAACAGCCCATCTGTTTCATCCCCAAATATGTTACAGGCATAGGCGATGTTCACGGCAGTTTCTGCAGGGAGGGGGGAACACAGGTTGCATGTTGGCCAGAACAAGGAGTTTGCTCAGTGTACAACTACACAGACTCTAACGGGGGGGCTGCAGAGCCCATTGGTCCACACTTGCCCTGGATGCAGGCAGAGTGTATTTTCCATGAGTCAGTGGAGACTACATTGAAACATCCACAGGAGACTGACTACTTGGCACAGACTTGCAAGTTATTGATCAATAATTCAGATCATTCTGGCTTAGCCTTCTCTACAAAGCCTTCTGTTTCTTAAAGCAATTCTAGTTTGTGTCCATTTCTCCAGGCAATCGGATATATTTCCTTGAACAGGATCATACACATTTCTATGCTAAATTTTATGGGAGATTGAGGTATGTTTAGGTTGTAGTCTTTCCTTTACATCAAAAACCTGAAATTCGGAATAAATTCATACTAAAGGAAAAAAGTAAAAAAAAAAAAAAAAAAAAAAGTAAGTCCTGAACCTTGGCTGCAAGTGGTATTAATATTCAGAGGAGAGTTGCAATTGTCATAAAGCTTTCTTAGAGAAAGGCCTTGAGGACGAGTAAGACTTGTCTAGAGGAAGAAAAACATTTCAAATGGGGAAACAACCCAGGGGCTCCGAGTAGGAATTGGTCTGTTTTGGGACATACTCAAGGTAATAGTCTCATTAGGACGGAGATAAGGGTGTGGAGGCAGCAACAGATTATCAAGGTCTTGAAGGCCGGACAGTGGAGTCCAGTGACCTACAGGTAGAGCTGCTGTAGGTGCCTGAGCAGAGGAGTAACATCATAAAAGTAGAAAGTTTTAGAAAGAGTAGACTGATGGTTGTTGGTAGCCTATACTAAAGTTAATAAGGGCGAGAGACAGAGCTCAGTGCAGAAGTTTTTGTGAAAGTTCAGCCAACAGGGGACAAAAGCTGAACTAGGGTGGTAACATAGCCAGGAGGATCTTTCAGAGGAACTGGTGGGACACGGTGAGAGAATGAACCTTTGGGACAGCAGAGCGGGTATAGTTAAGGACAACTCTAAAATTTTTTGCTTGTAAGCTCCTGGATGACAAATGTCTGTGTTCTCAATGCCTAATACAGCATCTGGCATAAAGTACATAGATAGTTAGAAAGCTGTATATAAGTCTGGGAATGGAGTTGTCCTGTAAGGACTTGACCTGGATTATAAGACATTTTTCAAATACATGAATAAGGAAAAAAAAAAAGAAAAGAAAAAGAAGAAATGGCCAAGGCGGATAGGGAAGAGGATGGTTCAGGTGAGGTGCTCCCCTTTACCTTGCTTATCTCCAGTCAAAACCCATATTTTAATTTTGGCTTTGTTCAGCACTTTGATTGTCTGAGGTACTCCGTTCTGCAGCTTATCTTCTATGGCTGTGGCCCCTAACAGCTTCGGACAGAGACATCAGTGAGTGAGGAAAAAGGAGAGTCACAGCCTTTAGTGCAACCCAACAATTCAGCGGGCACCTCAGCACCCTCCTTAGTAAGCAGGCCCTGTCCTGGCACGAGGACCCCAATGGTGTAAAACTCAGCACACTCTACTTGTCCACAGATGCAGCCTTCAACCACACCCTGAAACCAAATTCGGAAACACAGACTCTGCGGGACCCAACAGGGAAGGGACTTGCCTGAGTCACACATGACACTGTGTCCTGCTTCTAAACCATCTGTTTCTCTCAACACACCTTCACTTCTGCCTTGCTTCACAGCATGCTTCCTGGCTTTGGTCTCCAAAAGTGTGGGTTCCAGACAAGGGATCCCCTACATACCATTCTAGTTTTTCTTTCAACCCCACAAGAGCTTGGGTGAACTTCTTTTGTTTGTACCTACTATGGCCCCCTAAGGTTTTCAAGGCCTTTTCCCATGAAAAGGGAAACAACTAGATTAAAAGCATCTCGGCCCAACACCATGCCTTCTCCCTAGGATACTCCAACAGTGCCGACCACAGCGATGGGCACCGGACTGAGTCTGAGGAACTGACGGACAGACTAATTTCTGCTAGGCCTCTAGAAGGACAGTCTAGAAACACTAACCACAGAACTGACTATGGAAGGAGATTTGTGACCTTTGGGATCTCTAAATTTTCCCATTTGGCATCGGTAATTTCTTCTTTATAGCACAGCCAGCCTGTATTAGTCTGGTCAAAAACTCTAGAGTCACCCTTAACTTCTGCTTTTCTTATATCTATAATCTAATCCACCAGCAAATTCTGTTGGCTCTCCTTTAAAAAATGTACAGAATTTGAGTAGTGGGCACACAATGCAATATGCAGATGATGTATCATAGAATTGGATACTTGAAACCTATATTATCTTATTAACTAGTGTCAGCCCAATAAATTTAATTAAAAGGAAAAAAAAAGAATCTGATCACTTGTCACAACTTCCACTACTTTTAGCTGGTTCAAGCCATTATCATCTCACCGCTGTATTACTGCAGCTGCCTTCTGATTGGTCTCCCTGGGTCTGTGCTTGTGCCCCTTCAGTATAATCTCAACACGGCAGCCAGAGACCCTTTTAAAAGCTATCACGTCACTTCTCTGGTTGAATTCTTCAATAGTTTTCCATATCTCACTATAAATTCTTATGTTGGCTTATCAGGACCCTCTACTACTTCTCTGTCTCAAGTCCTTTTACTCACTCGTCCTTACTTTCACTGTACCACCCACCCTGGCTGCCTCACCGTTCACTTCACAAGTTAGGCCTGCTCCTGTTTCAGGGCCTCCGTTCTTGCCATTCCTTCTGTCAAGCTAATCCCCCAGAGATCTGCTTGGCTTGCCACCTTCTTGAGGTCTCTGCTCAGATGTCTCCGTCACAGTAAAGACTACGCAGCTATGCTTTGCCCTCTTCAACACACACACACACACACACACACACACACACACACACACACGCTGATACTCCCTAGGTTTCTTCCTGGTTTTACTTTCTCCCACAGCATTTTCACCATCTAACATACTATATATGTTCCTTTTTGGCCTGTTTGGTCTACTGCTATGTGCTCAGGACTTAAAATAGTGCCTGGCATGTGGGAGAAGGCCCTTAATAAATATGTCAAATGAATGAGTAAGCATTTTTGTCCTGAGTATTCCCAATTAATTCTGGATTATCTAATCTGTACATTATTCAGATCATGATTTCTCCCAGATTTCTTAGTTTCTGTGAGCAGCTTTGGGATAAGAAACACTGCCAGAGAGATGAAATTTAAACCGGTGCATTTTTTGTTACTTATGGAGCTCAAAGATCCAGGATATCCTGTTTTAGCTTAGATTCCAGTATCCAGAGTGCAGAGAGAGTCTGAACTGACTGATTTGCTGGAAGCCCCTCTCAGAGCCCTTGCTCAGTCTGCTGACTGCCATGCCCATGGAGCCCCCAGTCTGTCCCTGGCTTCCTCACACTAACCATCAAGTCTTTTTCGATCTCTTCATAGATAGTTGATATTTTATCTTCCCGATTCTCCAAAGATAAGCAGGCTTCACTGTGTTTCTTGTTCCAGTCATGGAAGAATGAATTGTCCAATTCTCGGTAGGCCACAAGGAGGGTGCGAAGGCCTTCCCTGGCAAATTCCTGAAAGACACGTGTGCACTGAGTGGGCCTGGGCTGAGTTTGGGCTGAGTTAAGAGAACAGCAGACTGACCCCACAGGTCCTGTCTGCCAGCGAAATAGGGTTTAATGGTCAGCCTCATCAGAAAATAGCTGTTGAACTCTCTCAGCAAATTGTCCTATGGATTGGGCCAGCACAGCTGGAGGTAAAGTCTGAGAATACTTCTGACAGATGAAAGGTTTTAAAAGGTTTTAGCTTCTACCTGTAGTTAGGTAATTTGCCGTGTGACCTTGGGAAAAACCAAGCCTTCTAGATTTCTTTCTTGTAAAATTGGGGTAATAATTCATCTCCTACAGAGAGAATAATGATGTCTATAATATGAGAATGAAGGAAGTAAAAAAGAAAAAAGAAATTGTTATAAAAAATAATCAATGGTATTATTATTCTTTACAAGCATACATTCATTTTATTTTCCTCTGTCTCTACTTTTCTTCATTAGGTATTCAACAGGCATTTCAAACAGCACACGCATCGTGTATTTGTCTATAGCTGGTCGGACTCAGCGGTGTTAGTGAGACTGTTGCTGAAATGCTCTCTGGGTGAGCTAGCATCTTTTTGGTCCTTGGCCACCAAGATATAGTCTAATCATAGCTAGCTATCTTGCAGAAGTATACTCCTGGTCACAGGAGGACGGGGTGAGAATGTGAATGGTTTAGGGTAGAACTCACATCCAGCTGAGGGTGCACTAGAAGCAGATTTTGGTATTGGGAATTGCTCATGAATAACAGTTCTACAGGATCGTTGTTATAGTGAGCTTCAAAATAATTCAAATTGGTGTTATAAGAACAAAGAGAAAGAGAATTTATCATCTTAATATTTTGATCTTAGTTCCCTGTGTAACTCCTGAGTGTCTGATGTTAGCTGTCAGGTGAAATTAACATAAGGAAGTATACATAGAGAATGCCATAGAGCTAACGTCAAACACTCAGGAGTTACACAGGGAAACCTTTGTACTGTTGGCAGGCGAAGCTATGAAACAGAAGCCTGAGAGATGTCAGAGACTTCTTAGGAAGGAAAAGATACGGCAGAAACTAATTTTGCATAGGATACTGACAACAGGAGTTGGCAAGCTTAACAATACATGGACAAATTCTCAGTCTTTCAATGAATAATTTAGTGGCCTGTGTTAACAGTATTTCTTACTTGTCCCTTCTCTTTTTCTTTTCTGGTTGTTGAACTAGGACCCTGGGGCCAAATCCTGACTGCCACTTGTTTTTGTAAGGCCCATTGGCTGCTCCTCGTTCTAGAAGAACTGGAGCTGTGCTTCTGTATCAGTGGGGTTTTGGAGCTTGACTCCTAGGTTTACCATCAGTGGTTAATCGTAGTATAGTTAGGCTCCACTGCGGGTTTCTGTTAGGGCTGGTAGTAGGGAGCAGGCTGAAAGATCTGAAACAGTTTTATGACCCCCTTTGCAGCCAGTCTGTGGAAATGCTCTCTGAGAAGAGAACCTAATTCATGTGTTCTGCAAAATTAAAAGATAAGAGTTTTCAGACTAGCCCATAAGAAATGCTATGGCCTCTGGGAAGACTTAAGAGCCATCCTGTGTGGGACACGACCAACTTTTAAAAACACTTGATATATAATGTAGATACTATAAAATTCAGCCTTTTAAAGTATACAATTCAGTGTTGTTGTTTTTTTTTATTGTTGTTCAAGTTGTCTCCATTTTCACCCCTCCTCGGCCCCCATCCCACCCATCCCTGCCTCCCACCCTCAAACCTACCCTCTTTGGCTTTGTCCATGTGTCCTTTATACATGTTCCTTGATGGCCCTTCCCCTATTTTCCCCCATTATCCCTCTCCACCCCCTACCCTCTGGTTATTGTCAATTTGTTCTTTAATTCAATGTTTCTGGTTAAATGCCCACCAGTACATGAGTGGATAAAAAAAACTATGGTACATTTACACAATGAAATACTGCAGAGCAGAAAGAAAGAAGGAGCTCCTACCCTTCATGACAGCATGGGTGGAACTGGAGATTGTTATGCTAAGTGAAATAAGCTAGGTGGTGAAAGACAGCTAACATGATCTCACTTATAAGTGGAACCAATTTAGTGGGTTTTTTTTAAATTTATCCATAAAGTTGTATAACCATCATTACTATCTAATTCCAGGACATTTTCATCATCCCCTAAAAGAAACCCCACACCTGTTAGCAGTCATTCCCATTCCCTTTTCTTCAGCCCCTGGCAACCAGTGACCTACCTTCTGTTTCTACAGACTTGCCTATTGTGGACATTTCATATAAATGAAATCATACAATATGTGGCCTTTTGTGATTGGCTTCTTTCACTTAGCACAATGTTTTCAAGGTTCATCCACATTGTAGCACGTAGTACATTAGCCCTTTTTGTGACTGAATAATTCATTGTACGGATATACCACCTTTTATTTATCCATTCATCCACTGATGGGCATTTGGGTTCTTTCTACTTTTTTGCTACTATAAATAGTGCTGCTGTGAACATTCATGTACAAGTTTCTGTGTGGATGTACATTTTCATTTCTTTTGGGAATATGCGTAGGAGTGGAACTGCTAGGTCATATGATAACTGTGTGTCTACATTTTTCAGGAACTGCCAGACTGTTTTCCGAAATGGCTGCCTCATTCTACAGTCCCGTCAACAATGTAAGAAGGTTAAGATTGCTCCATTTCCTTACCAATACTTATTACTGCCCGGTCACCTTTGTTATTTAAGGTATTCTAGTGGTTTGAAGTCGTATCTATGGTTTTCATTTGCATTTCTCTGATGGCTAATGACACTAAAAGTCACTCGTGTGCTTATCAGCCATTTGTTCTTTGATTTCTGACTATGTGTTAATAAAGAGTCAAGCTAAAATGGCCTCATAGCATTTTCCCTAATCTATTTTCTCTTTAAAATATTTTCCTGATTGGCCCTTTCCTCATCGCATTCCCTGTCCTATTCCCCCAACCCTCTATATATCCAAATAAAACGGTAGAAACCCCAGAGAATATGGATGTGGTTTTCCTCCCTACTGCCAGCAGACTGAAGCCACTCTCTCCTTCTCATATATCTCAAATCCTAGAGGGTGGGAGTGGAGTGGGTAGGTAGTGGGGAGGCACCCTTGGGGATTCTAATGCTGTAGATAATAGATAACAGTCCCCTAAACAGCTCAGGCCCAGTGCTTTCTGCTCCATACCCTAAGAACAAGTTGTTCTCATCACGGCTGGTGGGGTGGGGGCCTCCCACACCAGCAGGTCCTATTCTGAAGCAAATTCTAGACTTGACCACAGGACCTCTAGAGCAAGGAACTGAAGGGAGAACTATTCTGACTGTGCTGAGTGCTACCACGGACAAAATCCTTGTCATGCCTCGGGGATCCTGTGCCATCCAACTCCTTGACAATGTGGTAAATGAGAATACCACACAATGAAGTAGTTTTTCTTCTTCTGTTAATTAAAGAGACAGGGATACCAAATCCCATATAGAAACACACTGAAAAAAGGGCACATGTGGACACATATCCAGATACACGGAAACACCCACAGCTTCCCTCCCCCACAACCTATAAACACTTACATCTAAGTGTTTCATGGTCACATCTCTGAGGGATGTACAGGATGGATGAAGCAGCTGACAAAGGATGGTGTCGGCTCCCTTGCAGAACAACATTACCCGACCTTCAGGTGTCCTCACTAAGGATAAGCAAATCAAGCAAATTAACCATATAGGTCCATTGTTACAAGAACTTGTCTGGGCCACTGAGAGATGGCGGGAGGCTGTTCCCATGACATTTGTTTCTGATATATTTGGGGAATAAACACTCAGTGAGTGGCCATACAGGATAACGGATATGGTAAAGGCCAGTACGAGTGAGAGAGGACCTTATGAACCAGCTCTTCCATGGGTTCAATATCACCTGTGGAAGACTCTGATGCAGAATCACTTTTAGCTTCTCAAGTTCAAGTTGCATAAAAAGACTCTCACCTAGTAAGGACCAAGGATGAAGAAGGACTCAAACTAATTGAGAAAAAGATAGTATAAATTTCCCCTATATTTCTGCCCCCATCTCTTACTTTAAGTTCAGGCTTTGTGCATTTATTCTCTGTTCTTAGCTTTAAGTGTTCTTACAAGCCACTACTCGGGAACACTAAAGAAGGGTCCTGGCATAGAGTAGCAAGCCCCCACTGGTGTATACAGGATAATATGAAGACATGTGACAGAGAAAGTGGGAATGGCTCTGTGTTTGTATTTGAGACGTAGTACCTGTAAGAAGGCATGTGGATGGCAGAAAACATTTGTATGTAGATTGAAGAGAAAGCCAATATGTAAAAGTATATAAAAGACAAAAAGGGGGGAGGATCCACTAGGAGGGCACCCACCAATCACAGACATCCTCTTGCGCACATTGCTGAAGTCCAAAATAGCCAGCAGTTGGTAGACTTTGGTTTTCCCCATTTCAACTACTGTGATGGTCTCAGGTGTACGGGAACGCAACACAAAGCCGAAGTTCCTGGCAGCAGTGACCAGGGCACCTTCATCTGGGGACTGAGCCTGGTACACCAGCTCACCTGGTGGGAGAGAACTGGGCAGTCAGAGCCCACAGACATGTGCGGCTGAAGTCCACCCAGAAGTGACACTGCCCACCAAATGGCTTAAATAAAAATGGAGCCCAAGAAGGGACATTTTTCTTAAAAAATCCCTCATGGTTTGGCCCTAAAAGGCCAAGTTGTATAGAACAAGTCAGTTCTTTTCTTCCCAATATTTTCAACTCATCTCACTGACCTGAGTTAGTATTACAGAGGAACACGGTAAATGCAATACATACAGATGAACAAAACATAGGCAGTTACTCTCCAACTTTACTGGGTAAAGATGGCCCAGAGGTGGGGGTTGTTAACATGCAGATTCCTTGGCCCTACCCAAGCTTACTGAATCCAGAATCACAAAATCTGGGAGGAGGGCCCAAGGAACAGAATTTTTAACAAATCTCCTGGGTAAGTCTCATGCAGATGGTCCTGCATAAAGTGCTCTTGTACAAGACTGGACAAATTTAAAATAAATACCACTAAAAGATAACAATATTGATGGCTTAATAAACAATTTAAAATCTGTATGAATGAGTGTTGTCAACTTTGAAACCCTCACTTTGGGCAGCTAAGTGACTGGTTTGGTCGAACCATGCTTTTGCTCTGATATTACTCAAGACATTTCTTGAGCTCCCCTTTTAGAATACTGCCACAACTTGAGTGGATTATTTTGGATTATTTCTCTTCTGAAGGACAATTTAATTTTTAAAAAGTTGTTCATAAGATACATCTATGGGACAATAAGACTATTTTCTAGAGTGTTTCCTGCCTTGTCATTCAAGGTAGTAAACAGACACGTCCAAATATGCTCCAAGGAACAGCAACTTGTAGGAATATTGGGCCTGGAAGGGCCTGTAGTGGGACAGGTGCTCAGGGGTCAGAAGACATGAAATTTGGGTTCTTATCTCATCTCTGCCATTCTTAGCTATAGAATTTTAGGCAAGTCATTTCATCTCTTTTAGCTTCAGTTTCCTTCAAACCTGGGATCATTTTTCTTGTTCTGCTTACTTCGGAGGGCTGCTGTGAGCATTGTGGGAGATGATAGGAATGAAAGCGATTTACAAAACTACGGTAGTACACAGACATAAGGTGTTAATAGCTGTTTTATATGACGAGTCCATTAACTTTAAATGATGTGATTTATTTGGCTGCTTAAATTATTGTTTGTTAGGAAAAAAAGTCTTCTTCATTTATGATCAGTCATTTCTCATTGTTTCTAAATAAGGTTTGGATAAATTTATGGATGATATAGTTATACAGGTGAGGCAACAGTAGGTTTAGAGTTGTGTGTATGGAAAATAATATAACAATTAATAATTAATACAAGAATAAAGTCTGTGTTTCAGGTCCTCACAACTGTAAGCCTACTGCTGCCCTGCCTGTATTTGGTTATTAAAGAAACCAAATGGATATGTGGGGGTACCTTCCTGTGAAGTTACAGACAGACAACCCTACTCATCCTTTAGGAGTCCTGTCAGAGACTGTGGGGCTGATCTTGGGAATAATTCAGATGGACTCTATGACAGAACATCACAGGGTCTCAAGATCACAAGCTCCCTAGATAGCACAAAGTTTGACCCCTATCCACTGACTAAATCTTTTTAAGACCAAGAGGCTGCTTTCTACTTGAATATCTCCACCAACTAGGAGCTCATTACTTAATGACTATCCATTCTATTGCTGGGGAGCACTTCCTGTTAGAAGGTTCTTTCATGGTTTAAGTCATTACAGATGATATCAAACCACCCCCACCTCCAACCAGCCTAGACTCTAAGATATATTCTCTGTCCATGAGGCCTCAGTTTCTCCTCACCTTTCACTTTCTCCTCTGACATCACAGTGTGACACAACGAGAGTGAGAGGAAAAACAAGTGCACCCAGTGATCTCCCTTTTTCACTGCTTCCACCAAAGTCTTGTCATAAAATGAAAACTTAGGATCAGCCAGTTCGTTGTAGGAGAAGCTGACCTGTTCTGTTTCCTGGAACACATAAGCCAGAACAAACTTCTCAGCAGCACCTTGACACTTCGTAGTAAAAGGTCAATTTAGGAGTAATTTCTGTAATGTAGTAAGAACTCTTAGGAGAATGGGAAGGGAAATGCATGATAAATGGAGGAGACCCTATGCTGCTTTTGAAGGCTTTTTAAGCTCTGATCTGGACCATCCATTCATTTGGCCACAAAAGATCCATCCCATAGGAGACAAGCTGAGCACTGCTTGGCGGGGCCTGCTTACTCCCCCCGCTCCCCCCACTATCCTGAATGACCAATGGCTAGCTTTGGTTTCTACTTTTTCAAGTCCCAAATCCATATAATCAGACACGAGGATATAAGGGGTGACTGCTTCCTATCAGTAAATGGTATCTGGAAAAGTCTTGTCTCTAGTGATCCTCTGCCTGATTTGGGGAGCTGGGAAATCAAACTGAGTCCTGATATCACTATGACATCAAGTCAGTGATATCACTGTGTTACACTATTCCTATTTCAACCCATGTCGGGAGCCAACCAACAGCTGACCCTTGACACAGTCAGGTTGGGTGAGATGCATCTGCACAGCAGAGGCGACTGTGGCCGGATCTCCTGTCTATCTTCCTGCATGCCTGTCCCTGCTAGCAATAGGTGGTGGGATTTTTGGATACCTGTGTGTTATAACAAAAAATCTGCACGATGCCTCTGATTCTGTGTGAAATGACTTGCTGACTACAGAATAGAGATCCCTAGCAACCCTAATGTTGCCTGCTTCCCCCACCTGAGAAGTTAAGGACAAAATTAAACTATGGGCAGACCAACTTCCAGAACGCTGAAGGATACTGTTGCTAGGAACATTGCTTAAGGAATCACCACTCAAAAGCTTAAGATTTATTAGAGCCACTACCCCTCCCATACCCTGGACAGGAGTGTATAGAAGCAAGGAGTTCTAGTTGAGAATAATAATCCCAATACATGGAAATGAACACAAAACATGGCCCCCCCAAAAGATGTATAATCAAAAAACCTAGGCAAAAAACCAGTTACCTAACCGAGGCAAATATAACCTCAATGGATAATAGTTGATTTCTATATATCTATAAATCACCCCTTGCACCCTTTTAATTTAGACCAATTCCTAGAATTTTAATAGATACCTAGTTACTAATTGGCACCTGAAAGTTTGTGCCCATATGGCTTCGTTGGCTATCTGATTAATGACCCTCTTGGTCAAAATAACCTTTGTTTAATATGGTTGATCTGTGGGACCTCCTTGTACTTTTCGGTTATTTCTTTGTTTAACATGACTGATCTATAAAACCTTCTGTGTTTTTAGAAATTATTTCTGTGGTAACCATTTCTGTTTTAATAATCACACTATGCATTGAATGTTGTATAACCTCCCCTATAAAAATAAAGATTGATTTTTCTCAGTGAGTCAGTTGGGCCCCAAAAGCCTGGCTGTCCTCCGGCACCCTACCGGGTGTCTCACTTCAGTCACTTTGCCTTAGCTGTGCATCCTTCAGGGACCCTGAGACCCCGCCAAGGCTGGACCCTGGCAAACCCACAAGGGGGCTAGCGAGGAACACTGCAAGACACGACCAAGGCTGCACTGTGAGGCATCTTCAGTATATAACACTTGGTCCAGATTTCATTTTGAACCATTTTACCTGACCTGGCAGCATACCTGACTCCTTCCTGCCTCTAACCTTGCATGGTCCTTGACTTTCCCTCAATCTTTGGACCTAATATTTACTACCATTTTCCTGGCTATGACATAGATGTGACTCTCATTCTCCATTTCAGCTAGGCTACTGGAAGCCACCCTGGACAAACATTTTTTTTTTTGGTTTAATTTGGCCCTGAGGCTCTCTTATCACCACCCTGGAGTGTGGTATTAACAGATTTCCCCAGCCCATACCGGACCTCCCAAAGATACTCCTCTAGTCCTTTGTAGTTGTGGTACTTCTTGGGCTGGCCCTCAATACGTCAAATACAGACACCACTGTCCTGCTGGTTTTATGTTGGGGTTAGGGAAGTTTGTACTGAGCTATATGGGCTCTTTTCTATATCCCATCTAGAAGGAGTTTTGTCACAGTTCTTTTGTCATCCTTTGTGAGGAAGTATGGTCAGGTCCAGAGCCATGCCCTAGACCTGGGCAACTGCAGAGTTATGAACTCTGAGAAGTTTGTGGGTTCAGTAGTTTAAGATAAATTGTTACATTGCACCCCCTGAGGCTTTTCTATAATTGGGCTCTTGTACTGGCACAGGCATGTTCTTTAAAACTGGAAGGTGGTCAGTGATGAGCGACAAATTAAGAGGCAGGCATGAAGCTGACCCTGCACTAGCATCTTATCTGCAATAGGGAGTCACAGCAATTTTCCACTGAAAGTGACAGAATGAGATTTGTACCAGAGAAAGTCCTCTGGTGGCAGCATGGAGAATATGTTGGAACTAGCAAGATGAGAAGCAGAGAGACCAGTTAGGAGGCCATTCAGTAATCCACAAAATAAATGATAAAGTAGTGACAACATATATCAAATTAAGGGGATAGTTTGAAAATACAGGAAGCTAGAATTGATATAATGTGGCTATAAGGAGTGAAAGAGGGGAAAAATTAAGAATTATATTTCCTAATTGGGCCCCTTTAGCCTTTGCCATGGATGGGGAGGGAGCTATCAAGGGTACTTGGATATATGGATCTGGAGGTCCTCAGTCAGTCGGTAGTAGGTAAAGCCATGCAAATGCATGGGATTATCCAGGGAGATATACAGATAGAGAAGAGGTAAAATAATAGAGCCCTAGGGAACAGTAGCACCTATGGCCAAGGAAATGAGTAAAAGTGATGAGAGAGAGAGAGAGAGAGAGAGAGAGAGAGAGAGAGAGAGAGATGAGAGAGAAAAAAAATTGATTGATTGCCTTCCATGTGCTCCCTGACAAGGGACTGAACCCACAACCCAGGCATGTGTCCTGGCCAGGAATCAAACCTGCAGTCTTTTGGTGTATGAGATGGTGCTACAACCAACTAAGCCACCTGGCCAGGGAGATAGTTTATTTTTTTATTGCTGAATAATATTCCATTGCATGAATGTAGTAAGCATTTATTAAAGTAAGTAAAGGGTTGAACGGAGTGGAAAGAATCATTAGGGAGTATATTTCAGATATTAATAAAGAGGGAATACAAGACTGACTGAGGTTCCATAAGAAGTAGGAAGGGATAGATTCAGAATATATTAAGAGATTAGTATTAAAAGAAAAAGTGATACTTCTTTTTGGGACTGAAGAAAAGGAGGTAAAGGTAGGTTCTGATGTATGTATAGAAAAAGATGTTTAGCTGACAGTTTAGATTTTTCTCAGAAAAGTAGAAGGTGGTATCGTCTGCTGCGTATTGGGGAGAGAAGAGAGTGTGGGAGAAGGCCTGAGAGCAGCGAAATTTGGAATAGTTTAAATGGGCAATTAAGAATTAGGCTGATCACAAATGGGTGAAAATTATCCAATGGCAACTAAGCCCAGAAGAGGTGGAGTCTCTGAATTCGTAATGGCTTGTGATTGCCACAAAGTGCTTGGCACTCTATATTAGAAACAGAGAAGATGGCTTGAATAATTCAAAGTTGAGATTTGTTGGGTGATTAAAGGGGGGAAAAGAGGGCTACTAAGGTATTTAGGATGCTTATGGTTTTGAGTACAGATAAGAGCAATATAGGAAAGGAAGTCAAGTCACAAGGGATTGCCAGAGGGGAGAAAAAGGAGAGCTGAGGGTTTTAAAATCATCCTGAGAGAAGAGAGCGGGCATACCAGGAGTCAAATACCAGGAGAGCTGGAGGAATAAGGTGTGTGGTTAGAGAACATGACAAGGGAGTTTATAGTTTCAGGGTAGCACAGTTCTCAATGGTACGATGTGGAAACTGTGGATACAGACTTTTTGAGTCCAAGGAGTCAACTGAGAGACATATTCTTTCAGATATCTGAACGCAACTGTGGTGATGGATCATCCATAAAGAAGCCAATACTACCCAAGGCTACAGCAGGGATTGGATAGAGAGGGAAAATGTTTTTATAGTTTAAAATTCCTCAATGATTTTATCATAAATGGGTGCTGTATCTTATCAAGTGTTTTTTCCTCATCTAGTGATATGATCATGTAATTTTTGTCTTTCCTTTTGTTTATGTGATGTATTACATTTATTGATTTGCAAATATTGTACCATCTCTGCATCCCTGAGGTAAATCCCACTTGATCATGATCTTTGAGACAGCATGGATAGATCTGGAGAACATTGTGCTAAGTGAAATAAGCCAGGTGGTGAAAGACAAATACCATACAATCTCACTATAAGTGGAACTTAATCAACAAAACAAGCAAGCAAGCAAAACAGCACCAGAGACATTGAAATAAAGAACAAAGTGACAGTCACCAGAGGGGAGCGGGAAGAGGGATAATGGGGGAAAATAGGGGAGGGGCCACCAAGGAACATGTATAAAGGACACATGGACAAAGCCTAAGGGGGTAGGTTGGAAGGGGGGGAGGGATGGGTGGAGCAGAGGGAGCATGGAACGGGGGAAATGGAGACAACTGCACTTGAACAACAATAAAAAATATTTTTAAAAAAGGTAAAAAAAATTCCTCAATGAATGAGGCAAAGAAACCACAAGGTTTGTAGGTGTCAATGACAAGAGGAGTTAAGAGTATACTCAGAAGTCATATGTACCACAGGGAGAAAGGTTATATGAGGGAGAAGAGAGAAGTGCTTTAAAAGTAGTACAGAATAATGAAAACCTTTAGGCTTTTGATATACCCAGTATAAGAGATAGAGGGAAAGTCATGTTTCAATCAAGGCAGGGAGAAGAAAGTATTTTTTTAAAAGATTTTATTTATTTATTTTCAGAAAGAGGGAAAGGGAGGGAGGAAGAGAGGGAGAGAAACATTGGTACAAGAGATACATCGATCAGTTGCCTCTTGCACACCCCTAACTGGGGACCCGGCTCACAACCCAGACATGAGCCCTGACAGACAATTGAACCAGCAGCCCTTCAGATCACAGGCCAGTGCTCAATCCACTGAGCCACACCAGCCAGGGCAAAAGTATTTTCATGAAGAAATGAAGTTGTAGTTAAATTTGTTTACAAGAGAACAAAGATGCTCAAGAACAAAGATGCTCAGAGATGATCAAGCTGAAAATGTGCTACAGTCAGTCAGTAGTGGAAGGAGGGAGAAGGGGCAAGAGCAACAATTCACTCCCTAGAAGCTATAACTTTGTTTATGTGCCCAAGGTCGTTAGCAGTCTTCCTGGAGGAGGATTTAAGGCAAAACACTGGTTTTATTTCCCCTTCCCAATCTCTTTGGATGGATATAGGGCAGCAATTTTCAACCTTTTCATCTCATAGCACACATAAATTAAGCACTAAAATTCTGCAAACACCAAAACTTATATTTTTTTTGTCAATCTGACAAAAATAGGTATAATTTTGATTGATTTACAAAAAATAATAGTAACTTCCTACCCTTTTTGCTCCAAAGTGACTTTTTAAAATGTCAGGTGACTACACTTGTACATAAGGATTTCTGGTACCAAGAATTAATGAATCAGATGCAACATTATTATGTGATGTGACCAAGAAGCTGTAACTCTGTTATATGACCTTCATATTTATGGTTCAAGATAGGGCAGTCACACTGGATGGCTATCGCTGTGTTGGTTTTTGTCATTTTTTAATTTGACAACCTAAGGGAAAAGATGTTAGTGCCTCTGACTAAATTGTCAGCTATTGCATGTTTGAAAAATTTTTGCTGCACACTGGTTAAAAATCATTGATATGGGGGGTGAGGCAGGAGTTGGGAGCTTGAGTGAGCTGAGTGCTGTATAAATCAAGTAGCTAAGGGCTTGGAATTGGTTCCAGTAGGAAAGGGATAAGTGAGGAGTATCCTTAACAGAGGAAGCTCTAAGAAGGGGTACTTAAAATCATATCCATGAACAAAAGCTGAGATCGATCCAACACTGAAGAAAATAGTAAAAATGACCAGCTAAAGATAGGAAGAATAAATAGGGAGATAGTTTTATCATTGTGTAGGTTAGGACAACTGCGTATGTTGTTGTAGCATCAATCCTGATGCTATAAAGAAAAAAGACTGATAGATTTGATTACATAAATTAAAAGCTTTTACACAGAAAAAAATAAAAAAGAAACAAAAGCCAAAAGACAAAAATGGGAAAAATAATTGGAATATGGCAGGCAAGGGAAGATTTGTTGTTTTTACTATATAAAAACACTTTTAAATAAGAAAAAATGGCAAAGACTATGAACAGGTAGTTCACAAAATAAGTATAAATGGGTAATGAATGAGTGGGAAGAGGAAGGAAAATAAACACATAAAAATGACTCATTCTGATTAGTAATCAAAGAAAGGTAAATTAAATGATATCATTTTTCACTAATTAAATTTCTAAAGATTAAAACATTGTTAATATCTAGTACTGACAAAGATATGAGAAAAGAGGAATTCTCATGTATTTTTTGGGAGATTACATACTGATGCAATCTATCTGGAGGACAATATGGTAATATAATATTAAATGCATGAAAAATGTGGCTACCCTTTGACCAACCAACTTCACTTCTAAGACTTTATTCTAAGGAAATAATTATCAGAAGAAAAGACAAAAAAGTATGCACCAGGGTGTTTACCACAGGCTATTTATAAAAGCAAAAGAAAATGGAATAAAGATAGGGTTTGGTTAAACTGAGGTATAACAATACAACTGGATACAACACTCATTCAAAACAATGATGCAGAATTTAAGTTACTGACATGGAAAGAGGACACAATATAGTGTCAAGTGAATAAAAAGAGGCTGAAAATAGCATATATGCTATGGTTCTCTCCTCCCTCCCTCCCTTTCTCTCTTTCTTATCTATCAACCAATCATATCTAGATGTACATTCATGTGAATACATACACATGAAAAGCATATTTTACATGGGTTATCTAAACGAGATTGAGTGATTTTAACTTTTTTCTTCAGACATTTTCCTACTGTTTGGATTTTTTAATAGTGAGTATAGACGATGATGATTATATCCTCACTTGAGGATATGGTTTTTGATTTTAGAGAGAGAAGAAGAAAGGGAGAGAGAAACATATCTGAGAGAGAAACTTCAATCTGTTGCCTCCCGTATGCACCCTAACCAAGGATCGAACACACAACCTAGGTATGTGCTGTGACCAGGAATCAAATCCACTACCTTTTGGTGCATGGGATGGTGTGCCAACCAACTAAGTGACACAGCCAGGGAAGATTACTTTTTAAACAGAAAAAACCCCCAATAAAGCTATTTTCATTTTAAAACACAAACCCAAATCTCTTCAAATCAACATAGGTCATTTATATAATGCTGTCTGATATTATGAGGCCAATAAAAACTTTAATATTTTAGGGACTAAGGGAGCTCCAACTTGTGTTAAAGATGCTGCTCACTCAGCTCCCACATGCACTCCACAGGGAGCTGCGTCCACTCACCTCGGAGACGTCCAACTTCTGTCCATTCTCATCATAGACAGCACCTGTTGGTGAGTAAACAGAGCAGAGACTTGACAAGGTTTTAAAGAAAGGTTTAACTTTTTTTATTGTGGTAAAATATATATAACAAAATTTGCCATTTTAAACATTTTTAGTGTACAATTAAGTGGTGTTAATTACGTTCACAATGTTGTACAATAATCATCATTATATTTCTAAAACTTTTCAGCATCCTAAACAGAAACACTCCATTGCTCCCTATTGCCAGGCCCTGGTAACCTCTAATATACTTTCTGCCTCTATAAATTTGCCTATTCTAGATATTGCATATAAATAGAATCATAGAATATTTCCTTTTGTGTCTGGCTTCTTTCTTTAATTTTTTTACAACATAACTTTTTTTATATTTAGAATTAGCTAGCTGGACTCAGTTTTTGTTGGCGACATCCAAAGCATCAGAGTCTGGAGCCAGTCGAACACATGCCTTCTTCTCCCCATCAGGCCTGATCAGGGTGTTGACCTTGGCCACATCAATATCACAGGGCTTCTTCTCAGACTGTTTGATCTGGTGCTTGTTGGCCTTGACATCCACAATGAACACAAGTGCATTGTTTCCTTCTGTCTTCTTCATGGCTGACTTGGTGGTCAGGGGGACTCGATGAGGGCATAGTGCTCAAGCTTGTTTCTCCTGGGGGCACTGTTCTGAGGATATTGACTCTGCCTTCGGAGCCACAGTGTCTTTGGCTGCTGGAATGTGGGTGGTGTATGGATGATCTTCTTTTCTTTTTGTGGCTGTGTATGCCTTTTAGCACTGCTGTCTTTGCCTTCAAAGCCTTTGCTTTGGCTTTGGCTTTGGTTTTGGCTTTGGGAGGGGCATAGGCTTCCTTTTATTTTGCTTTGGGCTTATTTCATTTAGCATAATGTTTTCAAGATCATCCATGTTGTAACATGTGTCAGAACTTCATTAATTTTTATGACTGAATAATATTCCATTGTGTGGGTATATCATAGTTTGTTTATCCATTTATCTGTTGATACACACATAGTTATTTCTACTATTGGGCTATTGTGCATAGTACTGCAATTAACACTAGCATATATCTATCATTGAATCCTGTCTTCAATTTTTTTGTATATACTTAGAAATGGAATTCCTGAGTTATATAGTAATTTAAAGGAGGGTTTTTAAAAGCTTATTTCTTTTGATTCTATCATCACAGACTTTTAGTCAGGCCATTTAGCCCTCAGTGCTATAGAAAGTTCTAGACCCTAAGCCAGTGGTAAGAAGGTATCTGCTTAGGTCTCAACTCTTCTCCCTTAAGTCTGAATGAGGTGAGACTGGAAGTTAGTCACTGGATCTATGAGACACTTCTTACCTTAGGAAGCCCTCCAATCAGAAAAGTTACCTAGAAGAGATGTGAAAATAGGGCTAGAATGTTTAGGATTCTAGGTCAGTGGATAGTACAGACAGAATGGGGGTAGAAGGCAGTCTGAGGCCTAGCACAGAAATACTCATGACCCTTTTCAACCTCACCCAGTGTATGGTAAGGTCTAACAATAAGCCAGAGAATAAGACCCTCACCCAAATCAATTCATCCAAAAATAAGCTTTCAGAGTTTATACATATGAAACCTTGTTTGTCAGGGATAATTGGAAATATTGGAGAGTTTGGGCTTTTTTTTTTCAATTTAAAATCTTACATTATTTTAAAATTGAGGTGAAGTTTACAGGGGCATTTAGTGCATGCACAGTGTTGCACCACTACCGCATCTATCTAGTTTCAAAGCTTTCTCATCATCCCAAGGCAACATCCCATGTGCTCTAGCTTTTTAGATCTGATTGTCTTCCTCTGCTAGTTAGTGCACCAGACATGAATACTCACACACATTAGGACACCATCAAAAACAAGCTTATGAATAAGGCAGGAAATAAATGAGGAATTGGCCATGAGAGACACTGAGCAAACTCTTGACTGCACTTCGGTGGCTTCTCTCAAGATGTTTATTGGTCCAAGGGAGAACCAGGAAATTAGCAGCTTCAGTAAAATGCTGGTTGCTCTACCTGATTTAATATGAGAGTGAATTGACATTCCTAGATGTTAAAAATTCCTTGAGGACAGAGATTAAGTTTGTATATGTCGGTATGTCTGATGTCTAACACAATGGATTACATCTGCAAGGTACTAAATAAATACTTTTTGAATAGAGCTGAACGAGGTAAGTGATCTATGCTTAGTGAACAGGGAAGGCTATGAGAATAAGAGGCAAATGTGAATTTCAGAGGCATATAGACTTAGAGCTTGAATAGTCTTGAAAACAATCTGCAAAGTAGCCCTCAGGACTCAGGGAAAGCAGGAAGACATGCATACCATATAACGTCCCATTAATAGAACACTTGTTGAAAATCATGATGTTCTGAGTCAGGGTTCCTGTTTTGTCGGAGAATACGTATTTGACCTGGCCAAGCTCCTCATTAAGGGTGGTGGTGCGAGCCTGTGCTGGTGTGTTCTTTAGGGCATAAAACATCTTCTGATCCCAGTTGATATACCAACTGTTGCCCAATCTTATTATCTCAACACTAAGGAGAAAGCAAGAAAAGAAGGGTCCTGGGTCAGAACAGGACAAACAAATACATTATTCTGGTTTCCTTACCAGCCCTGTAGGTCAGGGCGGGCACCTGAAAATCCTATCAGTCCCCTATTGGGGACTTACAATCAACCAGTCTTGGATCACAGCACCCCTGCCATCAGCCAACCCACTGTACTTCTGACTGTGACCATTATCACAAAGGACACTGCCATGTGGATCCAGATATACTTGATCACTTTTGCTGGGGCATTTCCCCTTTCACTCTTTCTTCTTCCAAAACATATCTAGGAAAAGTCACAAATTTTGAACTTCCGCAGCAGTGCAAGGCAGAATTAAGAGCTAATAAAAGGCTGTCTAGGCTTAATTAGACAATTATTGCTGCTATCATGTAAACCCATTGGTGGGGGAGAGAGAGCTTCTTTGTTTCAGAAGAAGGGAAGGATCAGTGAAAATCAGAAAAGCTTACAGGATCTGACCCTCTGATAAATTTCGGGGCAGAGACAGCCTACCTGTGCAGTAGCTTCTCCCCCTAATAGCCTCCTCTTCATTTCATCTGACTCTTTTCCCCCTGGTGCCTTTGTCACATCCCTCTTCTCTTTCAAATAACATGCCTTATAGATGCTTTCTGGTTAACAAGCATCTTCACTGAAAACAGTGAAGGGGACTTCTTCCTATTATCATTCATTTGTACTTAATCTATGTTAGTTTAGATCGCTTCACTAGCAACCCTAGATGGCTGCATTGAGCAACATGGATTTTTTGTTTGAGTTGAGGGAGGAGGTGCCCAGGCCCACATTTTTGACTCTTAACTTGTTGTGACCTCCCTTCCTTCACTGTACCAGCCACAACAGCAACCCCTCTAAACAGAATCATTTAATTACATCAATTCTTTCCTTAAAAAGATCTTTGTTGCTTTCAGGATAAAATCCAAACTCCTTGGCTTTACATCGAAGGCTGTCCTGGATCTGATGCTAAACTACATCTAACATATCAGTCTAGATTATTCACTGTTCTATGTCCAGACAGAACTTTAAAAACATCAATAAAATATATATTTTTAAAAAGCTTTAAAAACACCTTTAGACCTTTGCCCATGCTGATCTTTCTGCTCACAATATTCTTTTCTTATTTTCTGCTTGGTGAATTCTACTCTTTTCTCAATTATGAGTTTGATTATTACCTTTTTCTGTAAACACCTAAGGCTTTCCAGGCAGAACTAATCCATTCCATTCCAAGGCTCCCATAGCATTCACATATATATTTCTATTACATATTTTTTTACATTGTACCATAATTATTTCTTTGTGTGTCTGTTTCCATGGCTATGTTGTAAGCTTATTTAAGAGAAAGGGCTGTCTTACTCATGTTTCTTTCTCTAGCACCTAATATAGTGCTTGCAACATAGTAAGTGCTCAGCAAATATTTGTTAAATTTGTAAGATCACGTAGATATGGTGCTTTTCAGATTGGAATGCTGCAGTACAGGGTTTAGGAAACCTGGAAAAAAGGATGTGAACATGTGTTAGGGTGTGTGTATGTGAGAGGGAATGTTGAAATAGATAAAGGAGATCAGAGTAAAGTAAAGACTTACTTTACTTATTTCAATACCTGTCCAAGGTGCTCATGAGAAGGGGGAAGGAAACGTTCTTCTTCTTCCCTTCTCCAACTTTTAAGAACCAGAACATAGGTCACAATTACACCTACCTACCATTTTCTCCACTGTTTGTATGGGAAAATGCGTTCTGAGTTCTGATTTACAAACAAATGTTTGGACTCTAATTGATAAAGTAAGGACTGCCTGGCATATGCTTCAGCATCACAAAGTTTGTGTGTATTTTTCCTAATTATTTCATGTGCTTGTATGTCTTATTTAGTCACTTACATTATAAGCTATTTGAGGACAGGAACAATTTTTTTTTGTATAATCCGTATGGTATCTAACACAGTATTCTGGATATGGAAAACATTTATGCAATCTATAGATATGTTTCAGCATGTTTTGTACACCAGGCACTGTGGAAAGTAGTAGGTGAAAGAACACACAGTCTATGCTTTCTAAAAGTTCACCCTCTGGTTGGGGAATTAATCGTGAATTATGAAGTCAGCTCCTCTACCTGTAACCCAAAGCGATCAAAGACGCCTACCTGACATAGAGTGAAATAGGCACCAAGGTGTTGAGGATAATGAAGTAGGACCAGAATACGAAGGCGGCAGAGACAAATGATGAAGAGACATATTCTTTCCATGGCAGAAAATTCTGGAAGTAGTAGCCTTTCTTGTTCTGCCAAATGCCATGCCCAATTGCTAGGATAAAACACATGCCTCCTAAAAACAGAAAAATCTAGGAATAATAAAAAAAAGAATTAACATCCAAGGCATACGCTACTTCAGTTCTGCCTTTGGGAGCCTTATCTCTCAAAAAGCTTCTCTCTCTTCTTGAAGGGTGAGGGGGCCTGGCAGGGCTGTAGTTTGTAGACTCTAGGCAGTAGTACACAGAGCAGAAAAGAAAGCCTAAGAGATAGTCCTGGGATTTTAAAGGGATATGCTAATAACTAAAATATATTAAATATTAATTAAGTTCCAGGAACTGTGCTAAGTACTTTACATATATTATTTAATTTAATATTTATAATACCCCTCTTTTAATAATAGATGAGGAAGTTGATAAAGAGTGGAAAAGTATTTTGCTTAAAGTCATTTATCTACTAATGAAGTGAGACTGGTTTGAACCAGTTCTAGAATCTAACCTCTTAATCACTCCATTATTGAAGTGAGGTGCTGCTTAACAAAAGTCTAAAATGTGTGGTATTGGCTTAGCAATTGGGGATGGGTGGGTGGTAAGAAAGTGAAAGAAAGGGCTGAAAATATGGCAATCACATTAGTAGTAAAGATTGTGGTAAAACTTGAAGACAGACCATGTGTCTGCTGAGGCTGTATAGCTCTAAAGGAGGTGGTTAGAAAGACTGAAACTATTTGTGTTGACTGCCTTTGACAAGGTATTAAAAGAAAGAGTTGAACTAGGAAAATTGGCCAGTTTATAAGCAGAAATGAAAAGGAATATGGAGAAATTTGGCTTATCAAAGGACTGAAAAAGCCTATTACTTTTAGACACTAAAGGGGAAGAGATACAATTAAGAACTTAAGCATACAAAGCCCGATAAGTCTTTCAAACTGAATTCCACCTGGAGGCAAAATTGAAATTAAAGATGATACCTTCTTACCCAAGATTATTGCTCCAGGTGACTGCAATTTTCTTGTCATTAAGTTGAGAGAGAAAGTCATGGAAGGACAAGGAAGCAGAGATTTAAGACAAATTTGAGAACTATGTTTCAAAAAGAACTTTGAGGAAGAGGAGATAACACTCTGGAACTCCTTTTACTAGGCCAGCATTACCCTGGTACCAAACCCAGACAAGAAAAGAAAACTACAGGCCAATGTTCCTGATGAACATAGGTACAAAACTTCTCAACAAAATAGTAGCAAACTAAATTCAACAGAACATTAAAAGAAGCATATACCATGATCAAGTGCAACTTAGACATTAATTAAAAAAATCAAAGAAAACACAAGTAAATGCAAAGACATCTCATGTTCACATATCGGAAAAGTTAACATTGTTGAAATGTCCATACTACCCAAAGCTATCTATAGATTCAATGCAATCCCTATCAAGATGCCAACAACATTTTTTACAGAAATAGAAAAATAATCCTAAAATTTGTATGGGACCATGAAAGACCCAAAATAGCCAAAGCAATTTTGACAAAGAAGAACAGAGCTGGATGCATCACAACCTCCTGATTTCAAACTATATTACAAAGCTATGGTAATCAAAACAGTATGGTACTGACATAAAAACAGCAATTCCACTTTTGAGGGTATATCCAAAGGAAATTAAATCACTCTCTTTAAGACATATTTACACCCCCATGTTCATTGCAGCATCATTTCCACTAGCCAAGACATATAAATAACCTAATTGTCTATCAACAGATGAATAGATAAAGAAAATGTGGTATCATATATATATACACAATGGAATATTATTCAGCCATAAAAGAAGGAAATTCTGCCATTTGTGACAATGTGGATGAACTTTGAGGGAATTATGCTAAGTGAACTAAGTCAAACAAAGACAAATATTGTATAATTTCACCTGTATATGTAATCTAAAAGAAACAAATTCATAAAAACAGAGAGCAGATTGGTGATTTCCAGAAGGCAGGGGTTGTTGAGGGGGATTGGGTGAAGATGGTCAAAGGTACAAACTTCCACTTATAAGTTTTGGGAACATAATGTACAGTATGGTGACTACAGTTCAAGAGCAGACAGCCTCTCATTTAGCAAATCATTGCATATTTGAAAGTTGCTAAGAGAGTAGCTCTTCAAAGTTCTTACCACAAAAAATTATACCTCTGTGAGGGGATTGATGTGTTAACTAACCTTATTATGGTAATCATTTCACAATATGTACATTTCAAATCATTGTGTGGTACACCTTAAGCTTACACAATGTTATATGTCAGTTACACCTTAACAAAGTTGAAAAACATTTTTTAAAAATTATGTAAATAAAATAATATAGCATATACTCTTTTTTATCTGGGTTCTTTCACTCAGCATAATTATTTTGGGATTCACCCATGTTTTTGCATTTACCAATTGTTCATTTCCTTTTATTGCTGAGTAGTATTCTATTGTATGGATACCACACAATTTGTTTCTAATTTATTTTTTTATTGGACGTTTGGGTTCACTCCAGCTTTTGACTATTATAAAGCTGCATTGAACATTTGTGCACAAGGCTGCATAGACATGTTTTTATTTCTTTTGTAAATATCTAGGGGTGAAATTGCTGGGTCCTACAGTAAATGTACATTTAACTTTTTAAGAAACTACTGAATGGGTAGCCCTGGCTGGGTAGCTCAGTTGATTAGAACATTGTCCCTGATCTTGCAAGGTTGTGAGTTCCATTTCCGGTCATGGTACAATCAAGAAGCAACCAATGAATGCATGAATAAGTAGAACAACAAACTGATGTCTCTCTCTCTCTCTCTCTCAAATTTAATAAATAACAACCCACCAAATGGTTTCCAAAGTAGTTACAATTTTACATTCTACCAGGCATTATATGCCCTCATGCCTCTGCAGAATACACATGTGAGAGTATTGTGAACCTCCTCGAAGTCTACTGAATGATGTCCAAACCTGCATCTTTCGTCACACAGTGTGATTACCTGAAAACAATCTATCCCCACTGCTAGATGATTGAAGGTCTCACCTTTGAATCACTGATGGGAAAGTATTTGAAGACAAAAGGAGAAAGGCAGGAAGAGTAGGTCTAACTAGGACCGTTCTCAGAAAATGAAATTTTAATAAACTTTTAATTATGAAAATTTTCAAACACGTATTTAGGTACCATATTTTTCGGACTGTAAGACACACCACCCCTCCTTTGGGAGGAATAATGGTTGTTAATGCTGCTGTTGAGTTCTGTTTACATTTACATTGGTAAAATATTATGTTATTTATGTTATTAAATATTTTACCACATGTTTTTGCTTCAAAATTTTTCCTATTTTCCTCCTCTAAAACCTAGGTGCATCTTATGGTCCGAAAAATAAGGTATATAAATAGTACAATGACCTCCTACGTACCCATTGCCCAGCTTCAGCAATTATCAATTCATGGCCAGTCTTATTTCATCCAAACCTCCTATTCTCATGCCCTCCTTTTTGTTTTAAGCAAATTTCTCACATTATATAATTTTATCTACAGACAGTTTAATATATATCTTTAAAGGATCTTATTTAAACACATAACACTTAATAACACTTAAGTGACTTTGTCACTTAAAAATTAGGAATAAATTCTTGAAATCATTTAATATATGAGATTTGAGAGCTGGGTGATGGATGGGGGAGAACAAAACTGAGGAGGAGTGAGATGGAACACAATAAAATATACTCTGACCCCCAGCCTAATGCAGACTCATACTGAGTAGTTCAGTTCTTTGAGATAAAGGTCTCTCTGAGGTCCTCCTTCTCGATCTGACTCCCACGTCCTTACCCTTCTCTTCAGTGAGCCGTGTGAAAGCAAGGCTCTCCTCATGGTGCTGACCAAACCTCAGGGATGAGTTCTACTGGCTCTGCCTTTTCGGATCGTCTGTGTGGGCTACATTGAATTTGGGACTGTATTCCTCTACCTGCCACTTCTCTAGGCCCTACGTTATTAGCTCTATTAGGGAAAGGTAAAATAATTAGAATAAATTATTACCATTATACCTATAAATATAAATATATTTATGACATTATTAGAATAAATCATTTTAAACCCTTTGGAGCTGTGGGAGAAGATTGTAGGGTGACCTCCAACACCCTGGCTCCATCCGTATTGCCTGGATAACTGAGAACTACCTGTGGCTTCCACTGGTGTGCCCTGCCTCCACTGTTAGACTATGCATCCCCCAGACCAGATCTATCTGCTCACGCTGACCCACTAGAAAGGAAAATCACCACTATCAGACCACCCCCCAAAGGACAGGGCTTCCCCATCAGCATGAGGCCTTCAGGGGCAGGACAAAATGTGTTCTTTCCTCATTCCCAGAGCTTTTCCTGCCATCTTGAAGCTTTCTGAGTCCTTACACATGGTCTGTGTTTCTTATTATTGTGATGGAGTTTATTAGTACTTAGTCTCTTAAAGTTTCACTTTGCTTCCTTTCTTTTTTTTTTTAAGATTTATTTATTTATTTTTAGAGAGGGAAGAAAGGGAGAAAGAGAGAGAGAAACACCAATGTGTGGTTGCTGGGGGCCGTGGCCTGCCACCCAGGTATGTGGCCTGACTGGGAATCGAACCTGCGACACTTTGGTTCACAGCCTGCGCTCAATCCACTGAGCTACGCCAACCAGGGCTACTTTGCTTCCTTTCTATAGGAAGAAATAAAAAATTAGTGGTGCTACAAACCCCAGAGGTTATTTGTTTATTACCAGAGCCAGTCAGACCAAAGACCCTCGAGCAGACAGCCTCTCATTTAGCAAACAGTGGTTCCAGTCAAGGCTGAAATGATACTCAATTTTGTTATTCTTGACAAAAATGACCAAGAACTAAGGCCATTACTGTCACAGTGGGGCTCCCAGGTTTAAGTACTCCTTGTTCCTTTGGTCCTTTACATCTGTGCTTTTCATTGTGCCTTATCCCAGAAGTGTATCCTGGATTTCTGGCATCATTCCAATCTCAAGCACTCTGCTTCTCTGTCCCACAAATACACCCATAGTACTTAGCAGACCAGTGTGCAGATGGCATTGCCACTGCCAGCTCTGGTCAGTGGGGAGAGGGAGAGGG